CCATGAACATATCAAGCTTTATCAGCATCTTGCATTATCAATTGAAGAGAAGGGATGGAACTCAAACTCAACTACAGATTTTGCTAGTTGGCCTTACACTATGTGCCCACATACTTTATTAGTGGCCCAATTACTGGTCTGGATATTAGTGGTATGCAGAACCATTTTTAGGCCTCCTAATTTATTTATCAATTACTACTGTTTTCCGATGGCTCCAGTCTATTTGATCTCTTTCTCATTGCGTCCTTGGCAACTGTTTGTTATTTGTCTGAAACGTATGCATTTATCATATGTTTGTTTGCGATATCTGACAATATGCTAGCGGACATGTAGTTACATGCATTGCTGTTACATAGACTAAGGTAAACATGTTTCGAGTGGGAGTACTAGCATTTGCTGTTAACTGTCATCAAATGGACATATTCTGTTCTGCTTCAATAATTTATTAATACATCTGTTCCATGGATGTTGGTTCAAGATGCATGGCCTAATTTGAAGACCATATGGAGTATAATATTTTTTCTTAGTTCCTAGAGGCCTTATTGGGCTTTTCTACGGCTCTGTGCTTCTCTTATTATAGAACTTTTTACTTGGAAAATATATTACAAAATAGTTATGATAATAAGTATCAATGTTTATGTTAACTTGCATATGACATAGTCAAATTGGAATATAAGTGTCACGTCCCGATAGGTTAACTGGTCTATCAATTTAATTGAGCCCAAATTATTAGTCAAAATACTTAAGTTAAAATTGATAGTAATATATCTATCAGACCCTTATAAGTAATTTTAATCTTACCGGGACTAATCGGAAATGTTATAATATCTAACACTGAAGGGCTTGACATTCTAGTCAAGGTTCAACATAAATTAGATCAAACCCTAGCATGGTGTATATGAGTCATAGCCCGGTAGTAGTTCCACGCCATAATAAGTCTTCTGACTTCATCCATAGATAGTCCTTTTCCACTCGAGTCTCTCATCATGTCCTAATACTAGATCAGCTTTGATACTATTTCTCACAATTCAATTTTGATGGGCAAACTAGCCTATCGATTTCGTTAGATCTAAATCATTGATCAAAACACTTAAGCTGAAGTTAATAATAATACACCTATCATGTTCTTATAAATCAATCTTAACCTTACCCTTACCCATTATATAGAATTAATTGACATATTACAATAAGTCATACTCTCTGTACGACCTATTGATACTACTGTTAGCTTATTTGTATGCATTCAGGGAATAAATTTTGGTGTGGTTTAACATCAACATTATGATATTAGAAAAAAAATTGATAGTAATATTACTCCTGCAAACTCATATGTTAGATAAGAACACTACGAGGAATCTGTCAGATTTCTGGTCTTTACTTGCTCTGAACAATTAAATACATAAAGAAGCATTGAAGGGTTGACTAGGGCATTACCGATTACAGTCTCATATTTTCTTGCAGGTGTAGAAAAGATAAATCAAGAAAAGGAACACCAGTAGATGGGCAAGAGGAATTTAAAGCAATGTTTAGGAGAAGAAACAAATCCTTGTGAGTATCCTCCAACATTCAAACTCCTGTTTCAAATAGTCAATCTTGATGCCTTGGGATCTTTTTTCAGCATTTTAGCTTTAATAATATATCTGCTTTGTTAAACTATTGTTGACCTTTAGTCAATGTTCCATAGGATGGAGATGGTTATTCTAGATTGCTTTGTTAAACTATTGTTGACCTTTAGTCAATGTTCCATACTTATTAGCTTGATCAAACCGTTCGTTCTTACTAATATAATTCAACTCAATATTAATGTTGTTTACCATGAAAGAAACCAAAAAAGTTGTTCTTGTTAAAAGACTTCTGAGCAAACAATTCATAGAAAACTAGATATGCATGGATCAGTCTGACCATTTTCTTTTTTTAGTGTACTGACCTATCAGCATTTACGGTAAATTTGGGGTTTTCCGTCTGAGATCTAAATGATGTGAAAGCTAGTGAAACCAAACTCCATGTCGTGGCAAGTTTCTAATTAACCTCATTATACTTGCTTGAAATTTGTGTCAGCCGTTTAGGTTCCATCTGTATTAAAGGCCTGTTATAATAATGAAATGGTTTTATCTGACGTTACCTAAACAAGTTTCTATAGCATGACACATGTTCATCGAATGCTTAGAACCTTTTAGAAGTCCAAGGTGTTGTTTCATACATGACATTTTAAGGAAAGTGGGCTGAGATTTTGATCTTAAGGGATGAAAGGGAAAAAGGAACAAAAACGACTCATCATTCCCTTTCAAAGAAGCAGCAATGTTGCCCGTGAGAGTAGCGTAGATAAATAAAGAAAACCATCAACTATATATGCTTTAAGCCAATGAGTAACCGTTTAGTGCAATTACCACACTTAATGATAGCAATATGGAAGCTAATCGATTGTATGCTTGTCAGCTGCTTATCGGTAAAAGCTCCATAGATATAGTCTTTTACGGTAGATGACGTTTTTGGTCGAGCATACATTTCAACTGTGACTACATATAAATGTATTGATTGTCTACATATAAATATACATTTCATCCTACATATAAACGTCTGATATCATTTGTGTCAATAAATACCAGTCAGTATGTATTGATTCAATTAGCTTTTGAAATCTTGCCTAATAGGATTGTATTCTTTATAGTCGATGACGTTCTTGGTCAAGCATGCATTTCATCTGCATGCCATGCATGGCAATGACCAACATATTAGACTTTGTGCAATGGGTATGACCGGGTCAAAACATAAAAGCTAAAGGTCAAGTTGAATCTCCATAGATGGGGCCCTCAATCGTATTCAATCTACACGAGACACGACTAAAACAGTTTTTCTTCTCACTCTTCTTGCGAAACGCGGGGGTAACTTTTAGAAATTGATCAGAATATTTAGTTTTACATTGATTATTTATTAAAACTAAGGGTCTATAAGTTTCTCAATTCATTCTTATTTTTAGAGATATTTTTTAAGATTCGCTAAGTCCTGAAAGAATAAAACTGTATTAGCATATCTAAAGCGAATAATTCTTGACGAACCTATAGAATAATACTAGAACGGGAATCGTAAGTCATTGGCTCCCCTATGGGAGGAGCATTGATAATGATATTTAACCTGGTTGAAGAGTAAGAGAACCAAATATTTATAAGTCTATTGATATATTCTTATCCTCAAAGGTGATTTTTGAAAGATTTATAAGTCTATCGGGTTACTCTTACCCTCAGAGATATTTTTTGAAATTCACGAGTCTCGAAAAAATAAAATCATATGAGGTGTATTTTGGGATTCAAAAGAATAAAAATCATATGAGGTTGCATCTTTTATCATTATTGAGATTTTTAAGAGAGTCTTTATTAAATTAAAAGTTTTTATTTTTTATAATTTTATAAAATATTTTTGGATCTTCCTTTGGTTCTCGCATCATCAATATTATTTGTCACATTTTTTTTAATTACAGTTATCATCAATTCAATAGCTAATTTTATTGTTAATATCATTAAATTGATTTGAAACCATGTACCCTCACCTGCAAGTCTCTTGCCAAGTTATAAATATGGAGAAGTCATGCATCTCTTTCGGAAACGACCGCCACCCACCAACCAATTTATTTAGACGCCACAAAAACCCAACACGTCCTCGAGCCCACAGCAACCATGAACTGAGATAATCTTTTTGTTGGGTAAAACGTCGTAGGTTTATCATGAGGGAGGGAGGGAGGGTAACAAAGTGCCATGTTTTCTTGTCATCCATGGACTCTTTCCTTGACGATGACAGGATGCTGGTACAACGAATTCGCGTCTCTGTCCTGCGGTAAGGGCATCTTGTTGTCAAAACGAGGAAAAACCCTAAGCATCTGCATCATTTGTTTATCTTGTTATCCGTAGGTGGATTTTTGATTTGAGCTTTTGACGAGGTCCATGCTAGTAGTGGCTTCTAATGTTGTCGAACCCTTGGCTTTTAGCGTCCGGTGGCGCTGATCTCAAACAAGTGTTTGGCTTTGCAGTGTTGTAGGGGCTGTAAACGCGTTTACTGATTGAAACAGTCGTCGGTCTGCGGAGTCCGACAGTGGACTGGACTGATGAGCAAAAGAGACCCCACGTTAACATCCGTTGGGGGATCCCTTATCTCACACCCTTCTTGTTGAAGTCTTTGCCAATAATTAGTCATTGGTCACTGGAATTTCCTCTTCATGTTCTTTAAATTGTGATCGTCATCCCCACCTTCCTTTACTATTCCTGTTTTCAGCATTAGTAGATACAGAGAGTTAGCTGTTTCCACGCGCTTACACGCACACACGATAAGAAAGATATAAAGAAGTCTTGTCAGTAAATGGAAATCCGGTATTTAATTGACCTATTAAATTATCCTCCGAAGATTTTTATTTAATACCAAGCATACAACAATACTATTTGGTATTGGTTTTTTTTTTTTTCCTATTATTGAATTCTTGCGTAGAACACGCAGCTACTAAACTAAGAAGAACTAGGATCATGACAGAAGATTTTTATTTACATTCAAAGCATACAACAATACTATTTGGCATCAGCTACATGCTGTAGCTTGACCCATGTTAAGTCATCTTAGCATGCAGTTCTCTGGCGTGGTCTCCAACAGTTTCCGTCTCTGTTCCTGCTGCGCCTGCAGCCTGTCTCCTTCCAGCTCTTTGGAGCATGTTCTCCTGTGCGCTGATGGTGCTGTGGCGAGCATGGACGTTCCGTTCTTGCCTGTCCCGCACTCGTGCCAAGCAGCTCCCCATGTATATATGTGTTAGATATAGATAGATAAAGAGATAGAGAGAGGTAGAGGTGTAGTGAAAGGGATGCATACAAGTGGAGTCGCTTTAGAGTGTAGTGAATGGGAATAGTAATAGTAAGGTAGGAATCAGGAGCGAGAGGTTAGAAGGGGAAAGAAATGTGCTCTGCTGATGCCTATGAAATGATCGATCCCACAAAACAATCACACTAAATTCGAGTAGATCGTAGTTTGTGGAACACAAGACAAATCTATTATTGATTACATGATGGTTCACAAAGGATTCAAGTGGATACAATTAGGATGGCCTGTGGATGTCCACTGGCACTCATAAGCTCGATCCACTGCTTCCATGGAAGAGTTTCGAATTTTAACCATCTTTTGCCGTCATCAGAAAAGATGGCAGTACTATGATTAGATCTCCGGTATGGTCTCGAGCGTTGGTCTCCAACAGTCCTTGCCGGGGACGGGCACGGTCGAGCTGAGGCTGCAACCTCTGCCTCGTTTCAGCTCGCGCAACATGTCCTCCACCCTGCTCGCCCTGCGGCTGGCGAGCATGGAGAGCAGCAGAGCCGCCTCCTTCTTCGTCATCACCACCTTCACCCTCACGCGGTCCTTCTTGCCGTCGCCTTGATCCACAAAGCGAACGGATCGCTTCCTTTCATCCTTTCTGCTCGGTGCAGGAGCAACTTCTTCTTCCAGCACATCACCATGAGATCTGCTCCTGCTCTCGTGTCTCTTGGACTCCCGAGACAAGCTGGGCAAGCAGTTCCCCATGTGTGATGACGAGAGAGAAGGTGAGGGAAGTGGCGAGAGATTGTGTGAGACATGGGAAGAAGTTGCATGGTAGTAGAGCTCTTTATAGAGAAGTGAACCTGCTGACTAGTTGATTGGAATATAGGAGCAGCAGGAGTTGAAGAGACCGATTCAAAGGAGATAAAAAGGCAGAGGATTTAGACAAGAGTAAGAATGGTCGTGAGGAGACGAACGACTCGTAAGTTACACCGTCAAGCACGACTATAATATTTTAATCACTAATTACCAAAAAACACTGACCTTGTGGCATTACTTTGTAAGTTACGAAATTAGAAGGAAAAAAATTTTTTTTTTATAAAAATAAATTAAGAAACATAGTATAAAAATGACTTTTGGATGTTAAAGAGCGAGCTGATTTATTTTTGATCGGGTTAGAATAATTTTAGTTTGAAAGCCTAATCCGATCTGTTCACTTAAATTGTTTGAATATTCGCTTTTATGATATTGGATTTGACAGGCATTTTTAGAATTTTTGTTTGTGAATTATTTTTTATTTCATTTGGAGATGATAAGTTTGCTCTTTTTACTATACAATTTATGTTATGGGATCACCTGTAGACACGAGCTATGGGTTCGTTTTTCTACTTTGTTTGCTTTTCTATCTTATTTTTAAATTGTTTGTCAATTTCTAGGAGTCGATTATGGTATTAGAAATGCTCCCTTGTTATTTTGTTAATTAATAAAAATGATAGAGACAATCGTGCTAACGTAACATAGGACATCTCAACATTATCCATACTCTTGATCGGTGCATCAAAGGCTAAGATCATTTATGATGGATCGATAATAGGTTGGGGAAATATAAAGGTTTACATAAATATATGCTAGTGAAAAGCAAGACGATTGACTTGCATTTAGTTGATTTGGCTAAACGACTAAGTGTATTTGAAGTTATTTTAGAGAAGTTTCTTGAATTCACTATTCATCATAGAGGAATCCATATGAACCCCAACTAGATGAAGGTCATTTAGGAATGAGATCACTCACATTAGCGAAGGAGTAGAGGCTGACGTGATGTAATATGGCATCAAGCTGATATCGATCTCGGTTAAAAGATAAATCTCTTTGTTTCTTTTGAGTCCTTTGAGAACCCCATGGAATTCAAATGGACAAAAGGAGTGCCGAGCTGACATCAACCATCCAAAAAGCTGTAAGGTCAGTCCATCCTAACTTACATCTCCCAATCCGGACCACTATTTGGTAACCTATTCGTTATCAACTCTTGTCCAAGAAGTTAAAGAGGCATTGAGCAATGCTATTGCTTTTCTATCTTATTTTTTAAATCATTTCTCAATTTCTAGCTGGGGGAGAGGAGTCAATTGTGGTATTAGAAATACTTCCTTATTATTTTGTTACTTAGTGAAAAATGAAAGAGACAATCATGATATCATAACATAGCAATGCTCAACGTCATCTCGATATTAGTTCAAACTCTTGATGGATTCATTAGTGGTATTCACGAGGTTCAATACTCGAATTGACTCACAAACATTATAGTGGTTAAAATATCTAATAGTGAGTGAACATATTTTCATTAAATAGATATGAATAAAACTTGTTCAAAGGTTGATGTCATATCCGTCTTGAGCTATTAACTTTCATAAATACATTCTCAAAATACAATTAAGTCAATTCGATGTGTATTGCTATAATGATATAGTTTGAGAATGATAAGCAAATTAGATGAAAATACAAAGAATTACTAGATAATGTGCTAGTGAAATGCAAGATGATTTGACATGATGAAGGTCATTCAAGAACGAGATCACCCACAATAGTGAAGGTGTAGATTTTGACATGATGTATCGTGACAAGGAGCCATTACCGGTCTCAATCAAAAAATAGATCTCCCACTTTTTTTTTAGCCCTTCAGATCTTCCGGCTTTAAATAAACGGGAGAGTGCCAAGTTAACCTTAACCATCTAAAAAGTCGTAGAGCCAGAGCCAGCCTTTTAGAACTTGCATCTTCCTTCTAGTTTGAGGGACAAGCTCTATATGTACTCTTGGCTATAACCTTCTTTATTGTCATCTTAGTTCTTGTTCGAGAGGCTAGACATTTAAAAATTGATCTATTATATTAACAATGGAGTCAAACCGATATACCAAACTATTTCAAGCGTACTATCCATGTTAGAACAAATCAACCACTTCAACAAATGCTCCCATGTTATCAATTGTCTTCTCATTTTCTTATTCCTTAAATGTATGGTTAGGATTGATATTCAATCGATACCGATTGAAACTTAACAAACGATAATCATATCATACGAGATTTGGCACCCTCACTCACATGGTATATCCTGCTTGTCCCATACCAAATCGAATAAAATTACATTCCTTGATCTATATTAAGTCGTAGAAAGCAAATTCGTAGATTCCAATTCCTCTGTCTATTGTTTCCAAAAGAAAAAGGAACTGTACATTATTATTCATCATCGCAGCAAATACAGCTTCTGGACAAAAACCAAGAGAAAAAGAAAAACGCGAAGGCCACAACCCTAGAATGCTGACTGCAACACATGAAAAAAAAAAACCCTTCAAAATTAGCACCCTGAACATATATAAGACCACCTACTTTACTTTGTTTTGACAGAGTGACTACATTGGTAGCCAGAGATGCTTTTCTCCCAAGCATGGTGTCGATCGGACGGACGGACAGACGGACTGACCGACCACAAATCTAGGCCGTCACTCTGTGGACTAAATCTTCACTGGAGACAGGGTTCTCCTTGCTACAAGTATTCACATCTTTCATCAGATACTTGTCCACCTGGGAGGCAGCTTGACGGCCCTCGTTAATGGCCCAAACGACAAGCGACTGGCCTCGTCGACAGTCTCCTGCAGCAAACACCCCATCTACGCTGGTCGAGAAATGCCCGTACTCTGCCTTGAAGTTCGACCTGTTGTCCCGCTCCAAGCCCAGCTGATCAGCAATCGTCTGTGAAGATTGTTGAGAGCATGAGTCGGTACCCCCATTGACAGAGATAACCATGTAGAGCCTTAAGTCTTATCATGCAGAATTAAAATTTTTGCTAGATGCATGTAGTAAAACAATGCCATATTCATCTTCATGAGAAAGCAATGGAGATGACTTGGATCAGGGTTTATAAAGATACAGAGGAAAACAAATAAAACTTGCTAAAGAACAAGAAAGGATAGTTCATGAATTATCTACAGAAAACCCAAATAGTTTAGGAACAATAGAGAAAGAACTCACCAACTCTGGACCAAGGAAACCCATGGCTAAAAGAACCAGGTCAGCCTCTATAATCTCCTCCGAACCCTTGATTTCCTCAAACTGAAATTTGCCACCACTATCCTTTGCCCAATGTACACGGACCACCTCAAGGCCTTTGACAACTCCACTTTCGTCTCCCACGAATCGTTTAGTCAGGACCTCATAGGATCGTGGGTCTTTTCCGAACTTGGCTGATGCTTCTTGATGACCATAATCTACTCGAAAAATGCGAGGCCACTGTAGAAAAATTTTAAGAGCTAGAATCAGAACCGTAGTTGCCACTGTACAACGGTTGTAGTTTGCTTTCAAAATTTTAAGAGCTAGAAGAAGAATACTTGCTTACCCTTTACAAGAAAGAAATTATAAAGGAAAAAAAAAAAAATAGAACCTAGAGATATTAGGAAAACTAAATTCAAGACGGTCCACAATTGAATGCATCTTGAACTAATCTAAACAGATGATCATAACAGACAAATCAATGGTAACCAAGGGAGGGTACTGAACCTGTGGCCATGGATTGCCTGGTGCTCGTTTTTGAGGTGGCTCTGGAAGGAGTTCTAGATTGATCATGTTGGTGCAGCCATGTCGGATAGATGTTGCAATACAATCTGTTCCTGTGTCTCCACCACCTATCACAACCACCTTCTTCCCCTTAGCAGACAAGTATTTACCATCCTGCAGATTGCTATCAAGCAAGCTTTTGGTGTTTGCATGGAGAAACTCCATAGCAAAGTGAACTCCAGATAGTTCTCTTCCAGGAACAGGAAGATCCCTGCACAAGAAGCATTTTCAGTGCGCGAGCCCACTACAAGTAACATGACACCTGGGTCAATATGGCTTTTACAATCAAGAGGACAACATACAAGTATCAACACCATGGTAGATAATTATAGTCAAGATTCACTGTCTGTGAGAGAGAGAGAGAGAGAGAGAGAGAGGATGTACATATGCTAGAAATGAAGTAATATATATATATATATAACATTTAGTAAGCATAATTCCCAACAATAAACATAATAACAGTAGGTTCAGCAGCAATTGTAACACCTGAATTGAAATTGGGGTTCATTGTTTAACAAGGGAATATCTAGACACAAAAATGGAAGGAAAATAAATGCATATCATATTTACACAGTGAGTCAGTCAAACTTCCAGGTTCAATAATTGCAGGATGACAATTTATGTTAGTACACATTGTCAACTCAGACTTTATAAGAGAATCAACTGAATACTTCCATGAATAAGTTATCTCAGGTATATGCACAAATTTAAATCAACGTACAGCATTATTTTGCTTATGTGCTGAAAATCTATATTCATAACATGATAATATCTACTTGAGCAATTCTAACAAAATTGCATTCTAAGATGGAAAGAAATGTACTTTGTAAATTTATTATGATTTGCATGTATCCATAAACAAGTCTTGCAGAATTTTTGTCCAGAAGGATTGTGTAGCCAGGCATGACAAATGCAAAATGAAATTCAGATGAATTCAAACAGATGTTCATATTAATACATCTCTCGTTGTTACCTTGGCTTTGTAGCTCCACAAGCCAACACGATGGCATCATTCTCAGCACGGAGATGGTTGAGGGAGTACATGGGGTCAACTCCAACATTAGCATTCACCATAAAGTTAACGCCTTCCCTAGTCATCAGGTCTACACGGCGTTGAACAACATCAACCTTGTCAGCCTTCATGTTTGGAACTCCATACATCATTAGACCACCGATGCGATCAGCACGTTCGTAAACAGTGACCAGGTGACCCATTTTATTTAGCTGATCAGCTGCAGCAAGACCGGCTGGACCACTACCAACAATGGCAACTCTCTTCCTGCATCAATTACACAAGATTTACCAACAAATAAACTATCTATATTACACCTTTCAGGAGTCAAAAAGCTAGTACATTCCTTTCTTGTATATCCGATAAAAGATAACTAGACAGGTAAGAACACTACTATTTAAATAAAAGAAAAAATATTGTTTGAAATTAATCAAAGATATACGACTACAAGAATGAAGCATTTAAAATAGTTCTTATAAGTTACCAAGAAAACATCAACTTTAGTTTACCTTCAGAACAGCCACTATTTATAACTTAAATCTGGCACAGGTATTAGCACATAAAAGTACGTTTAATGCTCTGCTGATGGTAGTAAGAACAAAATGTTGCTCCCTCTCTTGTTTGGGTAAGGAAAACAGAAAGATTAAATTAAAATTTGCATATCCATTCATCTCAAAATCTAATTGAAATTCAGGCTGTTCACATCAGCAGCAGGTTGTGTCCTAACATGATATGGAGAAATGTCCACTAAAGGGCATACATAGGAACAGACTTCTTGGCCTATTGGGATTATTTATTTAATCATTATTTAATTTCTTAGAGGAAATCAGTAAAGCTATATCCAAAACAAATATTATTGCAAGCAAGTTGATGAGATTATTTTTCTTTCTTACAAACAGAGAATCATTCTGAACAAGTCCATATAACTCTGAGGCATATAAATGAAACAGCAGAACGGAGCTCATCCAATCAATGGAGGACATCTGCGACTCCCTTGGAAGGACCGAACAAGTTGTCAATGAAAATAAAATGAGAACAGACTCGGACTCTCAGTGATGGATAACTTCACCATCAAATCAAGAGAGATTACTGTGAATTTCCATTGATATTGTCACAACCAAATCCCATCTGCCTACCAATTCAATATCTTGGATGCAGTGGCCCCAAAACTACATGTCCAAAATAACTAAACCAAGTTGTTAGTAGCAAACTAATCTAAGCCAATGTCATCCTCATCACACTTCCAATATTAGGGTGCCGCACCTTGATGCTAAGGTATTATACAGCCAAAATCATTCCCTAGTAGACGACATGTAAGGCCCATGGTGCATTCATGACTTCATGTCGTGATGTGTCGTTACCTAACTAATTCTAGATCCATAGCACTAGACCCAGCTCAATAGACTAGTTAACTTAATAGCTTTTGACATACGGGGTGCAAAACCAAACCCAAGATGTTAATTGTAGGCTCATCTACCCCTATGTACCATTATAACCTTCCAAAACTGATGACTAAGCAGGGTGTCGTAGATACTCTGAGATTTTGAATTTTCCTTGCATTGAAATAATTATTTACAAGGATATTCAGTGGTCCTATGACTTTGATTTGCTTCCTTTTATATAAAATTACATAAATGATCAGTTCTGCAGGTCAATGATTATTTTCAATAACTTGTTAACACTATAGCACATAAATGTAACTCCATTCTTCCACAAGAATTTCCAGAATGACCCAATAATTTTTGCAGAGCATGACAGAAGCTACAGATACACAAAACAGAACCAAGAAACATTAACTAATTGGTACTTGGTTGGGTCCTATGAACTAAGCCACAGAAATAGAAATACAAAACTTTTGATGATTGCTTGAGGTAACAGAAATGAGAAGAAATTTTACCCTGTTCTCTTTTGTGGAGGACGAGGTACCATCCATCCTTCTTCAAATGCCTTGTCTATGATGGCACACTCTATGCTTTTAATAGATACAGGATTCTCAATGATGCCAAGAACACATGATCCTTCACAAGGAGCAGGGCAAACTCGACCAGTAAATTCTGGGAAGTTATTTGTCTCCAAAAGCCTATCTAAGGCTTCTCGCCACCTATTTTGATGGACCAGTTCATTAAATTCTGGTATCTTATTTCCAAGAGGGCAACCAGAGTTCTCCTGCAAGATGGAAGAGTCAAAAAAGAAGATTTAAGATATTGATATAAATACATTATCACACATTTATTCAGGACCAAAGAAAGGCATTTATGAGCACCTGATCATACTCAACATTGAGAAGCCACAAAAGAAAATTATGCTTTACAAAAGCAACAGAAAGAGGAATAGATTATTACAAGGCAAAACATCCATCAAAGACCAAATTTTTTTAGGTGTTGATAGTCATCCTCGAGGGGTTACTATATTCACTATAAGAATCAAGATCAAATTTCCTGCCCCAGAAAAGGACAGCACAGCAGCTTTTCGTAAGCTTTTCTTTAATGGCCCTAAAAATGTAACAATACAGACTCTACTCTAGAAAACAAAAAGTTATGCATGGTTTGACCAGGCTCAATATCGGGTTATCAGGGTATAATGACTGGTGGAAATTTTAATTTACAGTTCATGCACCTTAAGCAATTAGGACTTCAAAATTCCATAAAAGATTGTTTTATAATCAAAATAAGAACAAACCAAGTTCAATTAGACAACTAATTCTAAATTCTAAGAGCCGGTATCTGACAACTAACCTTTGATGGTGGCGATATGACCTAAATCTAATTATTATTTTATATCCTACTACGCCATTGTAAACTCAATAGACATGCAAAAAAGAATTTCCAAGCCACAATTTTGGTAGCATTTGTCATATGATATAAACTAGTTTAGTTCCACATAACCGATCACATATGTTCCATATAGCACCGGAAATGTAAATCATTTTCATATAATAAAGGCCTCGTATTACAAAGACATGGAGCTTATTAAACCAGATCTCTATCACATCCTGCAAGTACCTCAAATTCAAATTTACTAAATCTGGAACAAAACTGTGAATAATGAACTAAGATCCTGCATAATTACATAACTTTCAAATGCTAGGTGATTAAATGGGAGTACAGATAGAATGAAGTACCTAAGTACATCACGATGCAAACCTCTAGCAATTTATTGTTTCTTTAAGTTTATTGTTTTAGGTTTAATGACGTTTTCTTATGTTGGCACAAACCCACTAAACTCTTATTCAAGGTTGATGATTTCGTATACTGGTATTGTACAATACCAACCAGGGCTCAGACTGGTTTCATACAGTCTATATCGGCATGCCGAGTGTCAGTACGCTAATATATACCTGAGTTTAGAAAGAAAAAAAAAAGCATAGGAAAGGCTGAAAAAACAGAAAAAAGGAACTTCCTGATACATGTCTGCTACTGGGTACCCCACCGACTTACCTTGTAACATACCGGTACCCTGTGTGACCGGTAAATACTGCCACTGCCCATTCTTACTAATATCATATAAACCTTGGACCCTTTACGTACAAAAAAATGAGAAACCAAACATTTTGACACAGCTTAAGATGTAACAGAAGAGAGCAAATTTCAATGCACCAAATTTTACCATCAATACAAATGAACATTAAAAGATCTCGGTGATGATTTAGCATGAACTTTTCTTGGTCTAGATAATAACATTTTACCTGATGACAAAAGGGAGTTCCACAGTCCATGCAGCGAGCAGATTGGGTTTTCATTAGTGGCCCAGGTTTTGATTCTGTGGCAACTTCTTTCCAATCTTTGATTCTATCATTAGGGTCCCTGTATGAGATACCCTGCCGCTCGTAAGCAATAAAACCTCGATGCTTGACAGCATTATCAACCTGTGTTGGCCTTTTTGCTGCAGCCAAACCTTCCGCTTTCTGTATATAAAATAACTCCATTTAGCCCTTGTGTCTATGACAGTAAAAGAAAGTTAACACTCTGGCTCTGCACATCAAAAATCTACAGATTCTGTACAGGCATAAGAAATTTTCATGGATTAAAATGAAATTCTGTGGAATGGGTAATTTTGCAGAACTAAGAAACAGGTTCCCTAACAGAGCAAGAGGGGAAATTTTGTCACGATACTAACAAAATTGAAACTTGGATAGAGAATTACAAATATATAATTTCATAAAGGAAGATTCTTCTGGTAAGGTCAACTTCTCAAAATGATGTAAGACAGCTGGATGAAAGATACAATCAACAAAAAAGTGGGTTAAAATTAAGATTACTACAGAAATATCATTGAATAACCTGAGATAATAAGGGCAAAAAATCAAGATATAAACAGTACACAAACCATCCATCACAATCATGAAGTATCTTACCTTCCCGTTCAAAGATGCTGCTGCCATTTTCTTGAGTTCTTCAAATGCATCCTTCTCCATCAGCTCCTTTTCTTCTTGCTCCTCAGATTCTTTGGCTGCTTGTTCTATCTTCAAGTTCTGAACAATTCTTTTATAATCTCTTGGAAATACTTTAACAAACTTAGGCAGCAGAGAGTCAAAGTTGGAGAGGACTTCTCTTGCCAACACACTGCTGGTATGGCGCTGATGTTGTTGTATCATCATTCTCAAGGTTGTGATATCTTCTCCATCTTCAATCTTTTCAAGATCAACCAATTCAGGATTGCATCTTGTGTGAAACATCCCATCCACATCAAAAACATATGCAATTCCACCACTCATACCAGCAGCAAAATTTCTTCCAGTTTTGCCAAGAATAACAACTGTACCACCAGTCATGTACTCACATCCATGATCACCAACACCTTCAACAACTGCTCTTGCACCTGAGTTTCGGACACAGAATCTCTCTGCTGCCATTCCGTTAAAATATGCCTCCCCACTTGTAGCTCCATATAGTGCAACATTGCCAACAACAATGTTTTCACTTGGGTCAAATTGGCTCTCTCTTGGAGGATAAACGACAATTTTGCCACCAGATAATCCTTTCCCAACATAGTCATTGCTGTCACCCTCAAGCTCAAGGGTGATTCCTGGGCAGAGAAAAGCCCCTAGGCTCTGACCAGCACTTCCAACTAGCTTAATATGGATGGTATCTGAAGGCAAGCCTTTCAATTGATATTGTTTAGTGACCTCGTGACTAAGCATGGTACCGACTGCACGATTTACATTGCGGATTGGTGTCTCAACATAAACAGGTAAGCCTTTTTCAAGAGCAGCTTTTGATGAAGTGATGAGATCCTGATCCAATGCCATCTCGAGACCATGATCCTGTTTCTGAATGCAATATTGGGCAACTCCTGGACGAATATCAGCTGCAGGTCTAAGCAGCAATGACAGATCAATATTTCCCAATTTTTCATTACTCTTGGCCACTTCCTTGTCAATTTCAAGCATGTCTGCACGACCAACCATCTCATTAATTGTTCGAAAGCCCAGCTGTGACATAATCTCACGAACTTCCTCTGCCAGCATAAAGAAAAAGTTTATAACGTGTTCAGGCTCTCCAGCAAATTTTTCACGAAGTACAGGATCTTGAGTGGCAATGCCAACTGGGCAAGTATTTTTGTGACACTTCCTCATCATAATGCAACCAAGAGTAATTAAAGGTGCAGTGCTGAAACCAAACTCTTCTGCACCAAGTAGAGCAGCAATTGCAACATCTCGTCCTGTTTTTAACTGGCCATCAGTTTGCAGGACTGTTCGGCCACGGAGGTCATTTGCAACTAGAGTTTGATGTGTCTCTGCCAAACCTAGCTCCCAGGGAAGCCCTGCATTTTTAATGCCAGTCCAACGAGAGGCACCAGTACCTCCATCATGGCCAGATATCAAAACATGGTCTGCATGTCCTTTTACAACTCCACTAGCAATTACCCCAACGCCAGCCTCAGAGACTAGTTTAACACTGATTCGAGCACCTGGGTTCGAGTTCTACAAAACAAAATTATGGACTTGCATCATATAAACATAGATGTAAAACCTCTCACACAAGCAAACCAAAATGCAAATTGTCCTACTACCAATGGTTTTCATATAAGGAATTACAAGGATGAGGGACAATCAAAATGAAAGCAAAATGAGGAAAATACTAATTTTTCAATCTTCATGAAACAACATTTTTAATGATCACTTGCATGGGCAAAACAATATAGGAGAACAATCATTTTATCATGATCAAATACCTTAAGGTCATGAATAAGTTGTGCAAGGTCCTCAATTGAATATATATCATGGTGAGGAGGAGGACTAATAAGACCCACACCGGCAGTGGAATTTCTAGTGACTGCAATATCACCAATAACTTTATGACCTGGAAGTTCGCCTCCTTCACCTGGCTTAGCACCCTGCAAAGTAACAAGATCATCAAACAGAAGCATACAACAAGCAAAATGAATTCCAGAAATACGATCTCACCAAATTTCAAAGGTATTCATCAGTTATAGATACAAAGACACATTAGTGCTTTGTAGACTCAGCATCATCTGCCCATGAACACAGATTCATAAACAAGAGGAACTTATGTTCCAATAGGAGGAAAGAGGAGGTACAAAGGTAGAAGATTCCCCATTGTTCAAATTTCAAAGAGAAAAGTTTTGGATCAGGATTGTTATGCTTGTCGTGATTACCTGAGCCATCTTTATCTGGAGCTCATCTGCGTTTGTGAGGTAGTAGCTTGTCACTCCAAACCTACCACTTGCCACTTGTTTAATCGCACTCCGCTTTGGATTCCTTGAACCATCTGACAGGGGTTCCATACGAGCAGGTTGCTCACCTCCCTCACCTTCAAAAAGATTGAAGAAGAAATAAGCTAGCATGACAAAATAAAAGATAATCCCCATCTTTATCTCTATCAGCTATCATAAGAAAACCCACAAACAATCAGTATACACAAAGTTAGCAACATAAACATGCACTTGTAAAAACCTGATGTGTTTTTCATAAAACACAAAATCAATGAAGCACTAGATCAAATCTCAAATATAGGCGCAAGTTTTCCTTCTAAAAAACCCTGGAAAAGGTTAGCATGGCTAAAATTTACTGACAAACACGAGAACAGATAGAAAGACCCAAAGCTTAAAATAGAAAGGGGCTTTGAGTTGAAATTTTGTAGATAGAACTATAAAAACACTCAACAAAGAAACACCTTTAAAACAATACCGAATAAATGGTAGGTCAGTAGTTTTAATACCTTGAAGAAAAAGAAGTACACCTAACAGTCAGGGTAAATTATTCATTGGTAGGAAGAAAAAAAATAAAGAGCAAATTTCACGAGAACATTTAAGCTTCTTAATCAAATAAAAACAATTTAGCCAGTGGTAGGTATGAACAGGTGATGCGATTAACATACGAAAAGATCAGACACTAAAAAGATTTTATGAGCTGTTTCAAATAAGATCATACCCGTATTAGATTTGCCTCCAATTTTATTCATTGCAATTGCTAGGGTAGAATGTGCTTCTAACGAGATTGAACCATAACTCATTGCCCCCGTGCAGAAACGCTTGACAATCTCACTGGCAGACTCTACTTCATCCAAGGGAACCTTCTCAGCGACGTCCTTAAACTTCAGTATACCACGCAAGTTGCATGTCTTGTTCAGCTCCTGTATACGCCTAGAGTATTCTTTGTATGCTGCAACACTATTAGCTCTGGCTGCCTCTTGTAACTTGGCAATTGCAAGGGGATCATTAAGGTGCACTTCACCTCCCTTTCTCCAGTGGTAATCCCCAGGATTAGGCAATGCCAATGCTTCTGCACTTCCCAGTGGTAAAGCTCTGGTTGGAAATGCCAATTCATGAAGACAAAGGGCATCCCCGGCAAGCATTTCAAATGTTGCACCTTCAACTCTACTTGGGGTTCCTTTGAAGCATTTCTCGATCACCTCGGAAGAAAGACCTAGAGCTTCAAAAATCTGTGCACCCTTGTAAGATGCAAGAGTGGATATCCCCATTTTAGCGAGAACTTTCATCATTCCATAGTTGCTCGCTTTGAAGTACCTCTTGACAAGATCTTCTCGAGAATGAAACTCACCATCGACTCTAGGAGGGATCTTTCCATCAATCTGCAACCGCCAAATTGCTTCCATGGCCAAATACGGGCAGATGGCATCTGCACCAAATCCAACAAGGGTACAAAAATGATGTACTTCACGAGGCTCAGCAGATTCCACCAGCAACCCTATGCGTGTCCTTTCAAGCGTTGACACTAGATGTTGATGAACAGCACCAACTGCCAAGAGGGAACTTACAGCAACACGCTCAGACGAAAAGCCTACATCAAAGTCAAGGATTCAATCTCTTTTAACGCCAAAATTTATAACATGGATATCATAAACATTTAGCAGCATGCAATTTACATAAAAAGCAATAAATATCACAAGGTCTCAAGAAAGAGAGTATAAAAATCAGAAAATGTGTAGAAGCTGAAATGAACCAGAAAGCCGGATAATAGACTAACTGCAAGTGAAATGATCTGCTTAAATAACAGAGATGGACAAAAACTTCGAAGGGATGAATCTAGGGATCTCAATGCTATCATGCCTTCAAACAGACATGAGTACCCTAAATTTCTCAAGCCCTCACCTCTGTCAGACAGTACAAGGGTCGTATACCCCTCACGGATTGCGGCACGAGCTTCCAAGCAAATCCTATTCAAGGTTTCCTCTAAACCCTTTCGACCATGTTTTTTTGGATACGTGATGTCAAGCACTTTGCTGCGCCAACCTCTGTAGTTCATCATTTTTATAGATTCCATTTCATCAATGGATAAAAGAGGCCCCTTCAACGAGAGACGATGGCACTGCTCTTCAGTGGTTTCAGTAAGATCGCCTTCTGGACCAACCATGCACTCCATAGATGTAACTATTTTCTCCCGAATTGGATCAATTGGTGGATTTGTAACTTGAGCAAACATCTGCTTGAAGTACTCAAATGAAAGTTTCTCTCTGTTTGACATTACAGCCAAGGGAGCATCATTTCCCATTGAACCTAGAGCTTCAGTGGCATCTTTTGCCATAGGCAACAACAGCATATCCAAAGCTTCAACAGTGTAGCTGCAAGTAACCAAATTTAGAACATGCAGTTTTATGCAAGTAGACAAGAACAAGAAGTACCATTACTAAGTGATGAGTTACCCAAAAGCCTTGAGTGGTGCCAGAAGACCACGAATCCCCATATTTTCCATGTCCTCATCATGATTCTGGGACTAAGGACCACAAAAACCAAGTACTCAGTTTCCAATATGCAAAGAGAATCAAGAATGATAATTCATTCAAATAGCATTAGACAGACTTACTGGTACAGTTCCAAATATGTTTGGAGGAATCATGTCACTTTTAGGAATAGAATTGACAATGTCATCAAGACAAATCTTCTGCCTCTTAAGCCATTCCCTGTATGGCCTAGCTTGTGAGTACTGCTTCTTCAATGCTTCATCATCAACAACAGTACGATTTTCAAAATCCACTAACAACATCATCCCAGGGTTAAGCCTTCCTTTCCTCAACACATCTGCAGGAGGAATGTCTACAACACCTACTTCACTAGCCATGATAACACGTCCACTATGTGTGATGTAAAACCGTCCAGGTCTCAGCCCATTACGATCTAAAGTTGCTCCAAGATAGCGACCATCTGTAACTGTAAGAGAAAATCAGCACACATCAGCAGAGTCAATGTTAGGAGTATTACTCAGAGCATGCGTTTGTGCAAAATCTCACAAGATATTAGAGCAGGTCCATCCCAGGGCTCCATGAGGGCTGAGAAATATTCATACAAAGCCTTTCTATCAGGGTCCATGTTCTTGTCATTCTGCCATGCCTCAGGAATCATCATCATAACAGCTTCAGGGAGACTTCTACCAGCACGGACCAAAAGTTCAAGAACGCCATCAAATGCCCCTAGAAATATGCAAGTTATTTCAGATCAAGCCTTCATGCATGTATGAAATCAGCAATACGTCGCATTTAATACCTACGTATTCAGACATAGAAATGAAACATGGCAAATATTCAATACGCAAGTCGCAAGCACACTTTAAAGTAAGGCATAGAATACTGCAAGTATCAAGGTAGATTCTACCTGAATCCGATGAGCTAGCATCCACAATCGGAAGAAGTTTCTTCATTTCATTCTTTGATAAGCCTAGTTCCTTGCACTTTAAAAGGCCTTCTCGTGCCTTCATCCTGCAAAGCCAAAACAAACAAAAAATGCAATGCAAACAAGTTGAGTTTACATGAAAATGACATCCAACACCATAAACCCACTCCGTCTTCAACATACCAATTCACATTTCCTCGCAATGTGTTGATTTCTCCATTATGACCCAAAACACGCATAGGTTGTGCACGATCCCAGCTAGGAAAGGTGTTTGTGGAGAATCGTGAGTGGACCTGCACACACGAGCATTTTTTTTCTCAGGGATCTAAATTGAACCATTCCAAACTTGTACTCTGGAGTCTCATCTAGGTATCAGATAAAACTCGAATCAATGCACTTAAAAGCACCATATATTCTGTTTTATCTTCACTGCCAATACAAAATAGCACAGGAACCTAGGCTACCTTCACCAAATACCATTCTTTTCACCTTCAAATTGGAACTCTCCTCCCACTGACCATGGGGAGCACTGCATCATGATTCTGCAACATGGTTTACTAAGTTATCGACTATGAAGATCTCACCAACCCACCCAAGTTATTCAGCACTCAAATTGAAGTAGTACCGAACACAGCAGAGTATGAGATATAATTCAAAGTCTAATGCCTCAGAGACCTCATTTAACCTTAGAAGAGTTCCATTACCAGAGTCTTCCCTTGCAGCCCGCTTTGACCAGAGTTTGTACATAAAGAAGAAGATCAGATAGGGTTATATTTACCAGGGCCATGTAACTTGTAAACCTTTCATCACCGAGATCTGCATAGTAGTAGTCCTTCAACTGAACAGGTTTCAACTGGCCTTTATAAACCACAGTCCTGCCAAAATCATATTAGTCAGTGATGCTCATTGCAGAAGATTCAGAACTCTATCCAACAGAGAAAACGAGGAAGATAAATAAGATTAGTCAATCCCTGTATAAAGCTTATGCTAGTCATCCCCTCGATTAGATGAGCTATCCAAAGCCTTTGCTATCGAAAATCATAAGTAAAAGGACTAACCTGGAAGATAGTGAGCATATATAGAAGTCCCTAGCTCCACCATGCTGCAGATTCAGGGCAGCTCGGATAGCTACCATTGAAACCCTCCGTAGTATATACATCTAGATATATTTGGAATTAAGAGTCAAACCTCATGATAATAAGTTGTGAGAAACAGCCATTACTGCATGAGTCTATAATAAGAAATACATAAAGACATAGTAAAGAACCTGTTGCTCAAAATCAGCACTTGACCGTGGACTTGGTGTAAGGAAAACTTGTTCGATGAGTGGCTCTGTTTGTCGAGCTGACTCACCCAGATCTCGGTTATCTGTTGGTACCGGGCGCCAACCAAGAACCACATGTCCCAAAGATTCTGCAACCTGCATGCCCAATAAAAGTATTAACAGACTGTTCTTATGAAGATCAATCATTTTAAAAGGTCCAAAGGAGACACAAATAATAAAACAAAACTCATTTAGAAAAGAAACTGAAACCTACAAGTGAGACATTTACATACCAAAGTAAGCATCCAACAAGAGCTTTTGGTTGTACAAATTCTCTTAAACTTGAGAGATATGGCAAAAGTAATGTGCCAAATTAAGCATACCAATTTCTCAAGTTTACCCAAAATGCCAGGTTATCAAAAATTATATAATCTAAGAAGAATCTTAGGAACACAAAAATTAGTTCGATCTAATAACTACTTAAACTTAATCAACTAAACCGAAGAAGGAACATGAACAATATTTTCCCTGTGGAAAGAGAAATTCTGATAGAAATATACTGGAATGACACTTATTTGATGTTAAAATTATACATGTCATGTAGTGGGGCATGCCTTGCAAGTCTGAAAAAGATAGGCATGAAACAAATTGAATATGAAATAAAGTTGGAGCTGGCAGACAGAGTATACAGAGAAAAGCTTAGGAAAATGCACGTGCAGAATAATCAATCATAACAGCAACCTAAATCCCTGCAGGAATTCGGTCGTGAGCTAACAATCGCTCCAACAGCAACAGCGACAATAGCAATAAACTAGTGCGCTCGGGTTGAAAATAAAGGGCAAAAAGAATTTGAAAATAAATCTGTCTTGGAAATAAAGGATCAGATGGGTGGTTCTGACCATTCAAGGTCAGCAACAGTAAACAGTTACCTTAGTGAAAACAATTTTGCTTTCCTTCCTTCGACTGTCATCCGTTGGCAAGAAAAACATGCCAACTGCATATTGACCGGGTGGTGGCAGTTGAATCCCAATATCCTCGGTAACCTGCAACACATATAGCAGAAAACAAAGGCATCTATCAGTAAGGATAATTTCCAAAACTAAAGGAAATAACTCAAGTTACGGATTTGCATGATGCTCAATATTTTCATCAAAGGCATATAGGTATACATAAACCTTAAAGAAACAAACAAAACTTAAACAAATACACACGAACTCAACATCATCATGCAGGCCTTTGACAAGGAAGAACGATTGAAAAGGACAAGATCCGTGCCTCCTTGAAGAAGCCGTGAGGGAGTGCTACGAGGATGCCAGCGCCATCGCCTGTGTTGGTCTCACAGCCACACGCACCACGATGAGCCATTCTCACCAGCATCTCCAAGGAATCAGCAACCTGCAGAGTTACCGGCCATAAACGGACCCAAAGTCAAATCTGATCAAGAATGCTATCCACAGATACGATTTCTTTTAATAGACATAAAATAGCATAGAGATATGAACAGAGACATACCGTTTTCCGGCTATACTCGCCCGAGAGTTCAGCGATAAAGCCAACACCGCAAGAATCTTTATCGAAGGATGGATCATAGAGACCAAGGGGCTTCTCCGGCACCTGAGACAGGGCCATAGATGGAGAGACAACCCTCAGCTTGGGGGAACGTCCCGGGCCATCGATCCGCCAACGCTGAACACGTTCAGAAGCTCGAAGCTTTGCACCAAGAAACTGGCTCTCCAAAGACACCGCCTGAGCTCGCCTGTAGGCAGCGAATCGCGCAGCCCTACCTCCGCGGCAGACGTTCCGCTTATGGTTGACAACGGAAGGGAGAGCGACCGACTGATTCTGGAGTTTGATGGCCGAACCTGGGACCGCCGCCATAGATGACGAACTCTAGCTAACAAAGGAAAGGGGGGATGTACGACTTCTCCCTCGAGATTTCAAGAAAGAAAAGACTGAGGGTTTGCCAGGCCTTAGAAAGCTTCAACTGGATGGATTCAGCCGAGAGGAAACAGATCTACTATATAGCAAGCTATAACAGAAGAAAGAGCAGATTCGAGGACTCTGCCGTGCCGGGGGATCGAGCAAATTTATCCTGCAATACATGAGAAAGACCAAAAAAATGAACCTCGATGAAACCCAGAAATCAAACAAGAACACAGGCTGGAACTACGAACAGGAACGTAAGGCCAGAATCTACCACGGAAATAATAAACGAAATCAGAGATTTGGAGGAATCTTTAACTCCTTAGCATAAAAGAAACCCCAAAACAACAAAAGCCAAAATACTTCGAGGGGGAAAAACCAAAGAGAAACCGACATCACACGGATCTCGACGACGAACCATAGAGATCTAAGATAGTTCATCTTTTTTTAATCATGTTTTTTCTTTACTTGTAAAACAATAGGGTATTCGACAGATCTTCCCTCCACCAACCCACCTCAGAACGCTCCTCCTCTCCCACCAACCAGCCGACGCAATCACGAACGATCTACCCCTTCTGGAGACTCCACCCGCGAGGCTGCCTCTCCCAATCGAAGGCCGGGATGAGAGATCGTCGAATGGACGAACAAACGGAAACAGAAAGCACGGACGGTCAGCCGATCCCTAACCGATCCCCCTCTCCCTCTCTCTCTCTCTCTCTCTCTCAGAGCTCGCTCTCCGGGCGCAGGCGGTTATTTATAGCCCCGGTTCCAGTTCCCGCCGGGCCCCACCCCATCTACCCCCGCGGAGGTTTTCCTTTTCCTCTCTCCTTTTATTCTCCATCAATTATTTTTGGGAGCGGGTGTGTTAAACTTGTAATCCCCGTTCTTATTTTTAACCACGGTGGGGTCCCACGCGCGACAGGGACTACTTGTCTCTTGTCGGGACACGTCATCGGACGTGCCCCTACGCGGCACTCGATGGCCGCTCGTGGGCGGGTCCCACCCCAACCGACAGCTCCCCCGGCCACTCCCCGGCTCGGTCCCGTGCTTCCGCGGTTCTCCCAACGGCCCCGGTCGCCGTCACTTCTACTCAACCGCAAGCGCAAACCGAACGCCCGGCGGTACCGGCCCCCGCGCTCGCCTTCCCGTCCCCTCCCATTGACCACGACTCATTATCTAATCAACAATATTTTATTTCTCGGCGCTATTAAAGCTTATTGTCATCACATGCATCACCCACCGTCAATAATCTCCGTCAGGTACACTGTAGCAGCGCAAACTCGATGTCGACGTATGTACGGTATCTACATACGGTATCACTGGTTTATTTACATCCATTGCAAAGTTACCTCTGTTCTTTAGGTAGAAGGAGAAGGAGAACGAGTCACACCTGCCTGCTTTGCTTGCCATTTCATGCACGTAATATATGATCATCCCATACTACATTGTCCTCTAAGAATCAATCGAGTACATGACGAATCGGTTACTTACAAACTTGCTCGCTCTTCGGATTCATCTTTCACGGTGACGAATCCATCGACTGTTCCTCTCGTGGATTAACTGTTTTGACGGCCACTTAATTCTGACGAGGGAAATAATGGCGACCTGGGGCTGGCATCACATTTGTCCTAGATGACGCATCACACCTCAGTATCTGGTCAAACGGATCGGAACGTCGATCGAGGCACATTAAACATTCTGCCCAGGCTCGGTCTCGCACGCCACGCCAATACCAGTGTCAGACCCAACCTGCCCCTGCAATGGGGCACATCAGGCACAGTAAGCTTCCCTATAAATACCCTCACATGCTAAAGGGGAGGAGGGGACAAACTCACACCCCACACTTGTATGGAGGCATCTCTTCCTCCAAAACCCTCTCCACATCGCTAACTTGGTCGTCGGAGGGGTCGGGCCGAGCGCCTCGGCCCGACCTTTGTGCGGGTGCCAGAGGGGGTCGACTCTTCCAGGCACTGTGACGGAGCTTCCTACCGACCCGACCCGACCTGCCAACCCGACCCGACCTGTCGACTCGACCTCCCGACCCGACGTCTCGGCTCGAACCACCGTGCTCGACCGCCGGAAGACCCCGAGGGACGTCGCCCGAGACCCCCGACATCCGGACCCCCGAACCGAGCCGCGACGGCCCCGAGGCCACGGCTTAAACAGATGCCCCGCCATATATGTGATGTACCAAAAAGTTCATTTCTTTTGATGCAGAGCGAGATTTGGAGGAAGAGATGGGGGTAGGTGGGGTGGTGGTAGGTTGACCAGAAATTAGATATGATGGTGTGAGGTTTAACTAAACACCTAACAGTTAAGCACAAATAAATAAATAATAATAACGATAATATCGATCTGCATTCGATGTAATTATTGAATGTTGCTGGAAGACAACTGTAACAAGCCAATAGAAAGATGTTTGACCAAATATTTTGACTCTTTTTTTCGTATGAATTATTGTGATGTATGATGAGAACTGAAGATTCTACTTATTTAGTATGTATGTGTGTTGTATACTCAGATACCAAAGAATGTTTAATATATTGCTTCCCTCGATATTGACAGTAAATAGGACGGAGTGCTGTATTTTTAATGATGATGACAGTAAAATATGTCTCGGTATGTATGTAAGCAAATATTGGATCAATAAATAAACTGGGATTTAAAAAAGTACACAAATAAATAAATAAAAGGTTCAAACAAAATGGTGGGGCCATCCATCCATCCATTCTTCTTTGAAGACATCAACAAAAGGTGAGAAGTGGAAATTTGCTTAGTATTTTAAAGTCTTTGTTTGGATGATCATCTCCACCTCCTTTTAAAACCTTTGGTACCTTCACTGAGAAAATATTTATTTAAATTATGATTCGACACATATCAACACAATTGATAAGTGAAAAATAAAATAATTAATATCAAAAAATTATTTTATTTATAAAAAAATATTTTTTACTTAAATTTTTTATATTTTATTTCGAAACTAATTCGATCGTCGGAGAAATTATACCAAGAATCTCACTTAATCTCTACCTTTGTGCATATCGATTTAGATTTCGTACCGGATTTGAATCAAATCGGATTAATTTAAATATTATCATCATTTATGATTTTTTTTTATTCAAAAGATCCATTAGATTAATAGACTATTTAATAATAATAATCTTAAACCAATGATGGTAGATTCATGTAATCAATATATATATATATATATATATATAATCATTTATATTATTAAACCTAAATCAGATTTGGCATATTAAATAGATAGTTAAAGAATCCCCTCTGATCCCAATTAAGTTTCAAGAATTGAAGTGAGAATCAGATAATAGTGAAATTTGTTGAATACTTGATTTGAAGGCTGTTTTGACAAGTTTTTCACACCAAATAAAATATTATAAAAAGAATTCTAAAATTTTTATGGTGCAATTTGAAGAAAAAGCATTTCATGTTTGCTCTAAATTTTGAGATATTATCTGGATTGCTAATCAGGTCAAATAAGGATCAGGATTTCAAAATTGATAAACAGAGAAAAATATATATTTTTTCTGAAACTGATGAGAGAGTAAATTTAATTGCTCATATGATAGCATTAGTTTTCCAATAAGATGATGGCAGAGTCATTTCCAAGTCTTTGACACAATTTTCCAAAAAAATCAAAAGAAAATAAAGTATTAATCTTGAAGGTTGAAAGATACAGCAAGTGGCAGAAAGGTGCAGTGGCAAAGGGTGTTGAACTGAGAAGGCAAGCACGTGTTCAATAAGAAACACATGAGCCCGGTTTGGTCTCTTCACTTAGACATCATTACAACTTGCTTTATTTCTAAAGATTCTATTTTTCCCTTGAAATAGTAGAGATGGACATCAAACTTGATGCCTGCCCCCTTTTTCTTTGAAAATAATATAATATTATTTATGAGTTCAAATCAAAATAATATATATATATATATCTCAAATTTATCAATACCTAATATATGTATAGATTCTATTAAATCTTATAAATTTGGAACATCTGTGCTCTTCTTTTCAATCTTTTAATGCTCTCTTATTACTATTGTGAAATTATTGATTAAGTATTAAAAATCTAAAATTATATCAATTAACAAAAGATCAATATTTTTTTGAGTCACATATGATACCATAGCATGCGAATAGATGTCATTTATATTTTGATTAATTCGATGTGATTTTGGGCCTGTGCAGGATTATTTAAGATAACTCTCAGATAAAAATACTGAGCCTCCGAGTTTATCATCTATATAAACACTAAAGTTGAAAAAATTTTATATTCCGATCCCTTCAACACAAATTAATTACGCGAAATGAATGCATGTAATCGCGAGTGATAAAAAATGATCTTACTTTTTATTATACCAAAAATAAGTTTTTGTATACGATCGTAAAAGAATAAAATAATTTATATAAATATTTTATGAGAATATAATCATCAATTTCTTCTGGTAATAATCTTTTATTGGTTATTTTTCAACTAAAAGAATATCGTTTGTATTCAATCTTTATCCAGTAGTAAAATAATAAATGATTGATGACATTCTGTCTGTCACTATTCAACTTAAACTACTTCGAAATTGAAATACAGATTTGACATCTGTTAGATTTTTGCTGGTAAAAGCCATTTATACGTTACAAGTTTCTTTCTTCCTAATGACATCACATCCACATGTGAATGCCAAGACTTCTACTCCGAGGAGAAGACTTGAATTGGATCACACCAACCTTCGAGTCATCGTCATGAAATCGCACGCTACCGCGCCTGCAAGCGAGAAGCCGTGCCTGCCTCATCCGTGACGACGCTGCCTTGCCGGACAAGACAAAGGCAGCCTCGTCCGCCGGGCCATACCGACTTAGAACCGGCGATTCCTTGAATCTGGGAGCGGTGGACGGTGGAAGATTGCTTCCGACTTGTGATTTGATAGCCATGACTCGACGAGAAGAACACACCTACTGCGCATACGTATTCACTGTTGTCTCTGATCATTGGCAGGTCCATAGAGTAAACGAACAGGTCTTCTTCGTTGAAGGACAAATGAGTTTGGGGTTGGAAGAACCACACACCTACTCCCTTCGACCTACCACTTCCTGGGGGCGGATGCAGCCCACCTTCTCGAGGAGGCACGAGGGATTTAGGCGTCGGCTGAGGACGTCACACAGATTCATTGCAATTGCAATCTATGGGCAGACATGCCACGAGTAGATTCTGCGAGGAGATCGGTGGTATCATTGCCAGTCACGTTTGCGGGTGGTTGGCTCGCCGCCTTGTTTCATGTGATCACCGACTCACAAGCCTTTCTACCACCGGAGAGAATTCAGTACAAAAGGTGTTTTTGCTTTAAGATGGTGTCAGATCACAGCCCATCATGCTGGTCTTATGAAATCAAGAAGTGTTTGATGGAGGATGGTAGTTCGATGGAACTGAAGCATCAGCATCTTCCAACCTGATGGGAGTCGGTGACAGACAAGAGTATATTTTCTTGCATCTGTTCTTAATCTGGAATCTCATTCCAACTTGCTTTAAAACCCACCACCAAGATTAGTGGCCGAGTCTACTTTCCATCTTGATGATGGCCTTCATTAGCTCCCCCACCTTCTAAACTTTCAGCCTAAGACTTTTGACCGCACCACCTGGAACAATGCTGATCATTGGACATGCTCTTTCACAATGTCTCATTGATATCGCATCCAACAACCCAAAGTGTTAGAGTTCCTCATTG